AGCCCTGAGAATCACGTGTTTTTCTTTTAGGGCCACTGCAAAAAACGAGAAAAAAAAAAGACAAAACATATGGCGGCGTATTATTCCATGTTCTGGAGAAGATTCATTATAGGTTTGCACATTCGGTGAGTAGTGCAGCCAAGCCCTGAGAATCACGTGCATAGACCAACAGGGCCTGGCTACGTGAGCAACCCATAACTGCTGGAACACAGACCTGAGTTCGAATATTGAGTGTATATTCGGCCAGCTCCTGTTGTTCCACATGTTCACTGCCTGCCTTGATTTCGGTGGGGGGTCTGCGCCACATGGCTGCGACGACCCTTCAGATGGTCTGCATGGGCTATCTGAGCTGTGATAGGGGAGATTCCTCCAACCCCCCCGGGAAAAAAAAAAGGACTCTAGACACATGAGCCTCATATGGTGGGGTGTGATGCGGTAGGGGGGGTAGGCCTCCTGGGGGGTCTGTTTTTGCACTTTTGGGGTTTGCTGAACGAGGTCCACCACCCCGTAGTCCGCAACGCGCGCGCGCGTCCCCCGAGGGCGCGTTCATTTTTTTTGTGCCACGTGGCGCGCTGCGCGTTTGAACACGAGTGAACGCGGCCCCGGGGGGTATGAACGCACGCGTTTGAACGTGAACGCGCGTTCAGCGCGTTCACCCGGTTACATAGCAACATACACGGTCCTTACACAGAGCACATGACAAAGCTAAGATGAAGAAGAGGTAAAACAATAGAGAACAAAATCTCTCCCGAACGCGACCCTGGACGGGTCAAAAATATTGCAGTACAACCCATCCGCCACCAGCAACGTGCGAAAAATCGACACTTTCCTGTCATCGTACTAAACAGCTAACAACACTAGTGCGACCCTACGCCGCATTTCGGCCGGTCGCCAGCCAGTCTTCATCAGAGGCCTGAATCGCGAGTGGAGAAGGATTAGTTATGTGTCAATGTCTTCGTTAAGTAATCCTTCGTCAACTTATTGCTACTCAAACCCACGCTTCTAGAAACCCACTAGCGTAGAAAACAAGTCCGAGAGAAAATCAAGTCCCGACTCGACCGATTACCAAATCGGACCCTACCCTTAAAAAGGCAACCCAAAAACAAGACCAACCGGCCCAAAGTCCTACGTACCAGCCGACGCCCACCCCAATATTCCTAGCTCATCGTGACAAAAAATCAACAAGGCTAACCCATCCTACACAGCTATGTACCCACGTCAAGACCCTTCAACAACCGAGCACAAATTAGTCAAAAATAACCATTATAGACCGGAGTACCGAACATTTTCAAAAGTACAAGATGGGAAGGGATAACAGATTAGCCACTATAGATCAGCGCACCAAAGCGAACAAGCGCAGAGCTTTTGCCAGAAAAGAATGGAAAGAGTGATTCGCAAAGATAGAATAGACTGAAATTCTCAAGACAACAAAGGAGCAGACAGAGAAACATAAAGAACAAGAGGGGAAAGGTGAGCTCAGTCAGTCGTTCAGAAAGTGGACAAGGGGTCAGAAAGAGCAGGGAGAGACATGAACTCCTAAAAAAGAAAAAATCCTACTTACCCACCCTTCGAAAAACGAGCCCACCTCCCTTTCTCACCACTCCAGTCCACATCCCAGACCGTAAAGCATTCAACCCAATCACCCCACAGACCACCAAACTTGCTGGATAAATTCTTCAGTGCAGAGTCAAAGTAATGATCCGGAAAATTCCTCAACCGGAGTTCAATTTTCAATGTCATTAAGAAGACAACCTTTGTTCCTTGCAGTGTTGTGAACCTCTTTGCCCGATATAAGAACGAGCCAATAATCGCCAGCTTCTGCTGCCGGCTGGAATACGAGCAGAAGTCCTACAAGTTCTGGAAAATCAATTTGTGTTTCCGAACCTCCTCCTGGTTCGTGTGCTTGTCCAAGCACACAATCCCTTCCGGTCTCACACCCACCACAGAGCCAAACAAATCCCAGAACGCCCCCTCATCAGTACATTGCAAAGTGAGTTTTTCATGATAACACTTCTTAAACCTCTCTATCACATCCTCCGCCCTCCTCCGAGAGCCTTCTTCATCCACCCTATAGCGTACAAAAATAGATACATCATCAACAGTCCGTGCCCCATACGTGATTGTCCTCCTTGTGCCCAGAGAGTTCAGGAACGTGAATTCTGCAAATGCACATAGCAGGCACGCAAGAGCTGGGCTCGAGGCTTTACCCATCGGAATCCCAACTCGTTGCCGCAGGATCGCGCCGCATGCCACCACGTACGTACAACTCATGTGAAACTCACCAAAACGAAGGATATCTTTGAACCCGACGTGCATCCAACCAACCAGCCCACCCCCCATTCTCACCTTCGCCCCTTAGGCTTTTCCTCTTTCCTGGAGCAGAATGCCCAATCCACCCCACATCGACCAAAAGTTAACAAAAATCCATCGAACTGCCTCCATCACCGCCTCCATCATCGCCTCATGAGGTAAGTTGCAAAACATTTCTTTAATATCAAAAGCATCCGAGACGAAACTCTTCCCTCTTCTCAGATCCACGTTGGCGACCACAATTCTCCGCACCAATTCCTCAGTGGAACGCATATTAAAGTTACTCCTTGCCGGCAGATCCCAGAGCATCTGGCTAATCGCTCTCGCCACCCTCTTGCTAGCCTTGTTTCCACATTCCTCGTAGGTGGGACGAATCGGTGTCCATTTCCAAATGTCCTTATGCTTCGGAATGGTGTAACATCTGCCCAGCTTGCCCTCCTTGTTCCACTTTCCTGGAGTGCCTACACCAAGCCCTTCAAACCGTAGTCCATTACAATCGTTGATCTCCGCCTCTTTCCGCATACACACCTCAAACCCTGGGTTCTTGACGAACATCTCCTCCATACCTTCTCGATAGATCATTGTGCAGCACACAAGCATATCCCCCGGATTATGATCCATCAGACACCGTACCAACCCCTCAAATCGCTCCTTCCACTTACCAACCTCGTCTGTATTACAATCCACCGCATCAGTACCACCGCTTTGTTAAAACAGCCCTGTAACAGTTCTCCCGACATCATGCCAACCAACTCTCTACGAGACTTTGATCCAAGAACCTTCAATAAATCAAAGGCCGATAGCACCTATGCTTTAAGCGAGCGCCGCACACATCCTGTTAACGACCTAGGGATATTTCAGGCATTCTTCAACCATCCAGCCACAAATCCGACCTCACTAGTCCTGAAGCACACATGCCCGTCCTGTCTTGGAAATCTGTCATCCTTTTCCAACACAACAACAGCCCACCTCCTTCTCTCTCTTGACATCGCCCGAAAATTGTACAGAATGTTCTTAATGCCTCGATTCTTCCCCCACACTATTCTCATCCTTCTTACTAACATCCACTTTCATCCAACCGAGATATCCAACTTTTCCAACATGGCGACACACATCCTTCGAACCCCTGCTTCGTTCAGACTCTCATGAAAAACTATCCTAACCACCAATTGGTTGCGCACATTGCAATCAAACCTTCAACGAATGACCCCGGAGAACAAAATCTCAAAGTGTACCTAGTCCGTTTCTCAGATAACGCACGTACAACGCTGTACATCCAGACCAACTTCTCAAAGTCCCAGACGAGCAGTTGTTTTGAAGAAGTAGGATGGCTTAGCAGACCAGTGAGCAGCGGTTTGAATACCCCCAGAGATAAACAAAAAGAGATAATGTTAACAAACTGAATTTGCTCCCCATCCATCAGCCAGCCCCTCGCCCTACGTAACTGCGCCACCCCAAACTGCGAGCTAACCTCTAATGACCCATAGCATCGTTTCAGGAGCTTCCATTGGTTGACCAAAAACTGGACCCCTAGGCATACCACACTCATACTCGACAGCCCCTTGCCCCTACAATCATTGAGCAGTTTGAGCAGACTTACCGAAGCAGTACCATAAGATGTGTGTGCTTTTTGGTCAACGTCGCATCTTCAACCACCCGGGCCCTCCTACGGCGTTCCCGTTTGCCAGCTCGTCGCCGACGGTGCCTCCTTGGTTGATCCGTACTATTGAGGTAAGGCGAGATCAATCTAGTCACAAACTTCTCCAGCTCAAACATATCGTCCTTAACACAACAAATAAGAGGGAGAGCGACATACTGCTGCCCACATCTTCGTAACCATCTATAGAGACATTGGTTCCTTCTCCCCGACTCCACCACCTGTGCATTCTTCACCCGAAAGAGATGCTCCCTCCATCTTACGTCCAGAGATCTACTAATAGCACCCACATACACGTGCTTAGTCCATGGAGACAACAACACATAGACAACCGGACCTTTGCATCTTACCAGGTCAACACCCTCCTCCTTAATCACCTTCAGATAATCAGTCAACTTAGTTGCCCACGGAATTTGACCACCCAATGTGAGAGACAACACCGCCTTCAGATACACACCTTCAGACACACCTTTACTCACATTCTCAACAGATCCCATCTTAAAACCATTAACAACATTCCATAATTTCGCCACGTTCGGGACGTGTCCTCAAGACGAGTCCGATGGCACTTCTTCGACATCCTCACCCGCTTCTTCCCGCCCAGCAGCAGGGTCACCCATGCCTCCTTCTTCCGCCTCTGCCGCTGAATTCGAGGTACTGCCCTCTCGCTTGCCAAAGCGAGCATCCGCCCTCATCTCCGCCAGTTCATCTGCCGTAGAATCAACCGTTTTGTACTTAATCCCCCCCTGCTTACATATGGCTTCCAAACCCTGCTTCTTCAACGCCCGGAGCTTCCTACGTTCCTCCTGTATAAACAGAAATCGGTCATTCTCAGTTGTAATCACCTTCTCCGTTCTCGGCGTTTTCCCAGGCGTCATCCTTGGTCCACCCCTTCTCACCAACTTTCGCCCACTTGCAGCTGCCGCTTCCAGTCGATTCTTCAAATCAGTACCCCCCACCGGTGCCTCCGTAGCTTCTGTCATCAACCTCTCAACCTGTTCCCGCAATCTGGCCACCTCCTCCTCCGCTTCACTTTTGCGAGTTTCGACCTCTAACTTCCTGGCTGCCACCTCAACCCCTTTCTGCTTCAAAGCCTCCACCTCCCTCATCACACAATACTCCTTATCCTTCATCTGGCACAACTCTTCCCTGAAATCCTGGTTGGGCGACTCCATCACCCTTTGCCTAGTCCGAGTGCTCACATCTGGTGTTCCAATGCTTACAGTTCCCTGCTTATTGCCAGGCCGTAAGGCCTCGCTTCTCCACAACTGCGTTTCCTCCATCAATATTTGTTTCTCCTTTCAAAGAAGACCGATCTCTGATTTCAAATTCACCAGCAAATCCTTATCATTGTTTCTCTCATCCCGTAGTTCCTGTACTTCCTTCATCACCCGTTCCAAACTATCCTCCAAGTTGTCACGCGTCAAGCATGGCCTCTTCCTCAGTTCATCATTCTCCTTCAACAACCTATCGATCAGACCCTCGTTACCGCTACCTTCCTTTTCTAACTTCCGCCTATATTCTTCGTTTTCTCGCTTCAACCTTGACAGCTCATCCGCTTCCATGTTGGGGCCAGCCACATCTTTGCTTCCACATGGTCGTCCCCGTCCATACATCGCCGCCAGTCTGTTCTCAAGCCTCTAACCAACCTTCACCTCAAACTCCTTCCTCTCCTTCTGTGCTTCCTTCTTCCTATCCTCCTTTTCCTTCTCCTCACGCTTCTTTGCCTTGTCAGCCTCTGCCTCGTCGACAAAGGCCACACAACGATCAAGAGTTTGCCTCCAGTACCCTCCGCCACCCCCACGTCCATAACTCGCCGCAGCAACGTAGGTGGGTGTCGACGCCTGTACCGCAGGAGGCTGAGGGTAAATCGTTTGAGCGGGAGCCGGAAGAGCGAGAAGAGGTGTATTGACCACCGTTGCATTTGCCCCAGTCGCAGGTGCTCTCCGAGGATGAGGGCACTCTCTAGAGAAGTGTCCTGGTAACCCACAGTTATAACAGTTACGAACAAACGGAGCAGCCATATTCTTCCACAAGCGTAGCCACACTACTCGTAATCCAATTCCTACATAGGTTACTACACGAACTTATGGTAATTGTTTAGCAATCTCCTTTTGTTGAACATACAACCAAGGGTAACCAAATCCACTCATAGATGAGCACGCTCAACTTCTACAAAGCACACAACCGGATACGAATGAATGTGAGAGGAGGAAGAACAACATACACGGTTCTTACACAGAGCACATGACTAAGCTAAGATGAAGAGGAGGTAAGACAACAGACAACAGAATCTCTCCTAAACGCGACCCTGGACGGGTAAAAAATATTGCAATACAACCCATCCGCCACCAGCAACGTGCGAAAAATCGACAGTTTCCTGACTTTCGTCAGTTCCCTGTCATCGTACTAAACAGCGAGCAGCATTAGCGTGGCCCTACGCCACGTTTCAGCCGGTCGCCAACCAACCTTCATCAGGGGCCTAAATCGCGAGTGGAGGAGGATTAGTTATGCGTCAATATCTTCGTTAAGTAATCCTTCGTCAACTCATTGCTACTCAAACCCACGCTTCTAGAAGCCCACTAGCGTAGAAATCAAGTCCGAGAGAAAATCAAGTCCCGACTCGACCGATTACCAAATCAGACCCTACCCTTAAAAAGGCAACCCAAAAACAAGACCAACCGACCCAAAGTCCTACGTACCAGCCGACGCCCACCCCAATATTCCTAGCTCATCGTGACAAAAAATCAACAAGGCTAACCCATCCAGCACAGCTATGTACCCACGACAAAAAATCAACAAGTCTAACCCATCCAGCACAGCTATGTACCCACGTCAAAAAATCAACAAGGCTAACCCATACATCACGTGTAACAGTGGCCACTATCAAATGAAGAAGAAAAAGCAAAGAAGAAAATAAAAGAAAGCGTAAGAGAGAAAAGTGAAAGACTCTATTCTCTGCCTGCGCTATGATCTGGGCAGTGAATTTATAATTTTCGGCAACAATTCTAAACTTTTTTTATTTTTATCTTGTCTTTTCAATTTTTGTTTGCCTTTTCTATCGTTTCGCGGGGGGAATGAACGGTCTTGTTTTGAATTTTGATTACAAACGGGCAGCTTAGAGTGGCGCGACCCCTCGCGTTTCGTTGCCGCGGGTGCGGCCCCTCACATTTCTTTGTCGTGGGCGCGACCTGCTATGTGCTAGGCGGTGCCGTGTAGAACCCCAAAAGGGGGAAACCTGTGGCTGCTTCGGTAGGAAACGCATCACTCCCACAGAAGGTAATAAGGCCCCTCCTTGCCATCGAACATGGGTACCCATCTGGGGCTGTCTGATGGCAGGGTTGTCGAGCCCCAGCCCCGGGGCCCTGGTGGGGG